ATTAAAGATCAGTTCATTGACTGTCAGTGTTTTGGAATAGATCTTTTATTGTGAAGAACAGAAATTCTAATATTTTTGTTTTCATTAGCGCTTTTACTGAAAAAATATTCATATGACTATATCATAAAAAACAGTAATTCTGCAACATACAAGGAAATGTTTATATCTGAGACTCCATGTTTACAAGTATAAAATCTCTAGGAAAAGAGTGTTTATGTGAAATAATGCAATGGCCTGCATAATACTTAAGCATCAATTTTCTTTAATACAAGTTTTAAAAAATTCCTAATATAATTCATAAAAACAAAACAAAAAGCACACACAAAAAAACAAGCAAACAAAAGCCCTCTTTTTTCACCCAAAGTCAATAAATATCAGTGAGTCCTTATTGCCACTTCATTTGTTATTAATTACTAATAAATTCTCTAAAATAATATAAATGTTGAAGATAATATTGGTTTTAAATGTTAAACAAGAAAATCAGATTAAAAAGAACCAATCCAGTCTCCTTTAAATAATCAGGGTAGCAAAGATACATAGCTAAGAAGAGGTAGAGAATAAATCAAAATCTGGTTTATCAACTTCTAGTCCAATTCCTTTTCCACTTGAAGGCCACTATTCAGTTAAAGCTGCAGCAAAGGAGACTAATGGTGAAAAAAGATGAATTCCAAAATCAGAAACAGTCCTGGAAGACCCCAAGACTTCCCATATTAACCTTAATGATGTGCTCAAAATTCCTTTTACTTGGCTTCTCTTAAATTACCTTGCAGCTAAATGCCTTGGATTTCTGCTCATGCACAAGGCTTAGCCCTCCTGGCAAGATAATGCAGAGAATGATCACTCTAAAAAGACAAATGGACCTTATTTGGGGAGATGTATTTCCTATTAAGTCACTGACTTCATATGTTGCTTTTTTATAAAATGTCTGACTTGATGAGAGTGAAATGAGAGCAAGGACAACTTCAATAGAAGGATAAAGTTTACCTGTGATAAAGAAATTTCTCCCTATTGTCTACTGGCTCTCCTAAGGGTGTGACCCTCTTCTACAGAATATCACTTTTAAAATTCTAATAAAATTTTAAATTTTTAACAAAAAATAAAAATAACCAATCCACAAATTACTATTTAATTTCCTGAGATATATGGATTATTAACTTCATGTGAAGCATGAAGAACTGATCAATTGTTCCAACATAATCTAAAGTATCTGATAATCCTATTTAATAAGAGTAATATGTTAATTGACTATCACTCCAACATACAAGATGGCCACAGAGGAGGGTCACACCCATGTGGTCAAAGATGGCTGCCCCCATATGGGCACAAGATGGCCACCACAAAAATGGCTGGCGGGGGAAGGTAATTGTGGGCGATCAGCCTGCAGGGGAGGGAAGTTGGGGGGTACCAGGCTTGCAGGGGAGGGCAGTTGGAGGAAGGGGGACCAGGCCTACAGGGGAGGACAGTTAGGGGTAATCTGGCCTTCAGGGGAGGGCAGTTGGGGGTGACCAGGTTGGTGGGGATGAGTGGGGACAGTTAGGCATTGATCAGGCTGGCAGAGAAGTGGTTAGGGAGTGATCAGACTGGCAGTCAGAAGCAGTTAGGGACAATCAGGCAGGCAGGCAGGCAGGCAAATAGTTGGGAGCCAGCAGTCCTGGACTGTGAAAAGGAGTGGGCCTAAACAGGCAGTCGGACATCCCTTGAGGGGTCTCATATTAGAGAGGGTGCATGCTGGGCTGAGGGACACACACATACCCTGTGCATGAATTTTGTGCACCGGGATTCTAGTCCCATCTAATAAAATAATAATATGCAAATTGACCATTACTCCAACACACAAGATGGCTGCTCCCATGTCGCCACAAGATGGCCCACAGAGGAGGGAAGTTGGGAGCGACCGGGCCTACAGGGAAGGGCAGTTGGGGGAAATCCAGGCCTGCAGGGGAGAGCAATTTGGGGGGACCAGGCCTGCAAAGGAGAGCAATTAGGGTGGCAGGTGAGTGGTTAGGGAAAGATCAGGCTGGCAGGTGAGTGGTTAGGGGGTGATCAGACTGGCAGGTAGCAGCAGTTAGGGCAATCAGGAAGGCAGGCAGGCTAGCAGTTGGGAGCCAGCAGTCCTGTATTGTGAGAAGTATATCCAACTGCCTGTTTAGGCTTGATCAACCTTTACCTTAACTGAGCCTGTCTTTTTGCATCTATGATAACATACCCTTGAAGTGTCTGGGTAACTTGTAACTTCCCTTTTTTCTGGACCTCCTGGGGCACAACCAAAAGTGCTGGGCACCAGGACAGATATCACAAATTCCTTCAATATCTTATTAATTGTTCCTGCAACTACCTAATTATGAGTCCATCATTTTGCTTTTTATCCAATCCCAGGGGTTTCCCTGCTTTGCTTTAACACACCTCCTTAATCTATCACCAATGAATTTCATGTAACCCACCTATGTCCCTCCTTTGATTGCAATGTATAAATACAGATGTAACCCGCCATTCTCTAGAGCATTATCTCCGGATTCATTGAGGTTCTGCTTCCCGGCATATGTCGACAGTTTGGTGCAAATAAACTAATAAAAATTATTTACAAGTTTAAAAAAAATAATTTAAAAAAGACACAGGTCAACTTAATTCAAGCTAAGAATTTCAAATATTTTAAATCAGATTTGGGGTACATAGGAAGGCAAACTCCCAAACCATAAAACAATATCGTACTATTTGTTTGTGTCTGCATGGCTCAAAAGGTCAGAAAGGGGATAGTTTATGTTTTTTTGGCAGAGATAAAACACACTCCACTATAGAACCTCAGATTTCAAGGAAAACTCCTTTAAATTCAGCAGCTAACAGCTTGTCTCTATTCCCTGTCACTCTCGATCAGAAAAACCCACACTTTTTTCTCTTTCCTGCCCCCTTCCAGTTATACTTGAGCTCTCTGACTGAAAAGGTCTGGAACAGATTAAAAGTTGGACTACAAAATAAAAAGCTTTTGGCATGTTGTCAAGCCTGTCTGGAATACACATACACAGTGGGCCCAAGAAGGGAAACTAAAGGCACTAAGACAATTTTATGAAACTCTTTTTGGCATATCTAACTATATGATTGTGTGTACGTATGTGTTGGAGGTAGAGGAGAAGCATTTTTTAAATATTTTCTGATTAAAACAAAGGACCACGCTGTGTGTGTAACTAATGGATCCACTTTAAGCTCACAGCCAAGTTGTTTTATTTCATTGTTTAACTGAAAATACTTTAAAAAACAACTTTGTCCCAATTTTTGATTCTGGAGTTAGCTAAGAGTTAATCATCATCTTTCATAACCGTATGTTGGGGGTGGGGTGGAGAGTAAAAATCAACAACCCACAGTACCATTTTAAAAGTTTCCAAAATGTGGACAAGTTGAATTCATTAAAGATGATTTAAGGAAACATGGCTGCTATCGTTCCAGTCTATACAAATGGCAACATTTATTAAATTCTCTACCTTAGTCTGTTTCCTGTTTCAACCACAAGAGCTTATTCAAGTATTAAACAGACTCTGAAGTTGCAAATTATTAACATGCCACGTAACTTTTTTAACACCCAAGTAGGTCTTGAAGCTCATGAGGGTAGCATTTAAGGCAAACCGGTATCTGTCAAAATGACAGTCTCTGTCCTGATCCCACCACTAACATTACTTGAATAGGGGGTGCAAACCACAAAGCTGACCAGTTTAGGGCAAACCCCAATGTTGGGGCTGCTTAAAGGTATACATAAAGACTAGGAGAACAGTCAGGGAAGTTAATTTTACCCAACGAGCTCTGGGCTGTTCTCCCCACCCTCCCCCCACCCCCCCGTTGTGTTCTGATGGCATTCACAGAGTTAATTCCTCTTTCCCATAAGGGCCCCACAGTTGTTGTTAGGTCAACCCCTGTAAAGCTTCAAAGGTTCCGTGTCCCCTCAGTCTGACCTACTCCGTGATCTGCACATTGTTTTCATTTAGCTGCATTCAGTCCAAGACAAAAACTACGAAACCACAATGATCCTCTGCTTTTTAGAGTCATTTTTCCATGGCTTTGGAAAAATATCTCAGAAACCTAACTGAAGAAACTGAAAACAGTGAAAAAAAATATTGGATAAAAAGGCAACAAAAGTGCTTGTACTATTATCAAAATGTGCACATTTGGGAAAGGAGTTTTCCTTTGTGCAAATTAGTGATTCTGTTGTGTAGTTTGGAGAGGAATATGGCTTTGCTTTTTGTTTCCTAAACGTAAAATAAAAGACCATTACAAAAAAAGAAAGAAAGGAAGAAAGGAAGAAAGGAAGGAAGGAAGGAAGGAAGGAAGGAAGGAAGGAAGGAAGGAAGGAAGGAAGGAAGGAAGGAAGGAAGGAAGAAAGAAAAAAAGAAAGAAAGGAAGGAAGGAAGGAAGGAAGGAAGGAAGGAAGGAAGGAAGGAAGGAAGGAAGGAAGGAAGGAAGGAAGGAAGAAAGAAAAAAAGAAAGAAAGGAAGGAAGGAAGGAAGGAAAAAAAAAGCAAAAGCCAGAAGAGACGGGGAAAATGTTGTCATTGGTCTTATTTCTAGGGCAAGAGTATACCCCAACCCCTCATTTATGACAGAAAAGATTACAATACTCAGGCCACAAAATGATACTGATTACTTTCTGAAATTAGACATACGCAGATACCAGGTCAATGACAAAATCTGGTATCCCAGGTTTTAGATGCAATAAGATAGCCTGATTGTAACTGTAGAAAGATAATTTTAAACAAATCACTGTGTCTCCCAAAATGTGAAAGTCAGTGATTCTAGTTAGTCAGCCACCACAACATTCCCTCAATCCCCTAAAAAGCTTAGACCTGAATTTCTCAAGTTTAAAGTGAAAGGTATAAAATAGTACTGGGAAACTTGGGTGAGCAGTCATTTTTTTAATACTACAAAGCAGCGCAATTTTATTTAAATGTACCTCCCCAAATTCACATACAAAAAATTATAATCAAAAATATCTAGAAAGGTTTTGAGATGAACCTTTACCAAAACGAGGGTCAAGCCTTGGGTCTAGCCAAGAGGTGGTCTTGTTCTTATGGTTTATATAGTAAATTTCTCCATCCTGAGTCATGGCTTGTTCCCATCCATCAGGAAGAGTACCTATAAATACAGAAAAAAAAAAATCATGGTTGGTTTTTATTTGGTGCACCTAAAAAAAGTGGGAGTACTACTAATTAAAAATTAATAAAACAACTCATTAAAACAACCTATATAGCAGATTCTTCTCCACTAAAAAGAAACTACCAAATAATAAAATCTACATCCCCAAAGACACAGATGAAAAAAAAAAAAAAAAAAGATTTTCAAAAAAATCCCCTTGGAAGTCACAACCTAAATAATTATTATTACTGTTAATACAAGACACAGAGTGTTGCAGCTCAGGTACTACCTGCCCAATCCAGTTTCGTGACAGTACCTTCCTGGGGAAGCCAAGGTTCTTTTTAACAAGGAATACAGGTGAGTGTTTTCAGAACATCTTAAGTATCATAAACAGTATGTTTAATATAAAGCACACGTTAGCTAAGCCTGCCAAGCTTCATTTATCTCCATTTTTTGTATGATGGGCTCACACCAAGAAAATTATAATAGAGAAAACTATAGTAGTTGTTTTTTTAAGCTTATTTTTAAGCAGCTCAAAAGTTGTTACGAGGTAGGAGCTGTGGCTGGGAGTTTAAGTTTGTCCGTTTTGAAACAGGGTAGGTTAAGTGCTAAAACTGTTTTAAGGCAAATTTCTCAGAAGCAGCTGTGGAGTGAGGAAAAATGCCTGGGAGATAAGACTAAGAAACATAGCCAATCTAAGGTTATTCTATCTTTGTGAGGGTACAGAAGCTAGGCAATTGCTTTTGGTACGTAATGGCTATGAAAAAAAGCTATTAAACTACTAAATTCAAGCATATTTCCTCCTCAATTCCTTTTCTCCTCCTTCCACTTTCCTTCCTCACCAGGAGTCTGGAGAAGAGTGTAAATTGGAAATAGAGTAAATGCCTAAATTTTTTCTATCAATGAACCCACATGAATTGAGTGCTTATTGTGTGCTAGTTGCTGTTCTAAATATAATAACTCATTTAATCCTTACAACAACCAATGACATAAACAGCAGTATTATCTACATTTTAATGAGGAAACTGAGGCACAATCTGGTACAACCTCACAAAGCTATTATAGTTAGTGTTCAAGTGATACTCAAACCCAGCAGCCTAATTCCTGAGCCTTTGTTCTTTATTACTACACTAATGGCCTGATGCATCGATTCGTGCATATTGAAGGTAAATTAATTAGAAGAAATATTTTAATATCACTATTCACCCTTTCTCTATATCAGAGATTAAAGAAAATTAGTAAAATGTATGTGAAAATATATAAATTGATGATATAACAATAACAAAGATATAAAAACAACAAAAAATGATATAAAAACGACATTGATAAAGATAATGACTGATAAATTGGTTAAACTTATTCTAATATCTCCCTGAATACCGCATTAAGAGTAAAAACATTTTCAGAGTGCTTGAATAATTTCCCTTGTGATTAAGTATTTACAAGTTTAACTTTAACATCACACCTCTTCAACTTTGATGGCTTGGTTTTTATTGAATAGAGAAGATTCTGACCCGAGTAATTATTATTACTGGGAGAGTCCACAACATTATGTGTTTAATAATTTTCCATGAAGAAAACACCAAAAGGGCAGGAATAAAGTATTAAGTAGACTGTTCACTGTGAGCTTCAGAGAACCAGAATGATATCACATTGTGCCAAATTGGTCTTCAGATATATTCTGTCGACAATGCTGGCTTCTTTCAGCTTCAGAGGTACACTGTGCCAATAGTTGGTCTTCAGACATATAATATCCTGTCATCGATGTCGCTTTCTTTCAGCTTCAGAGGTACACTGTGCCAATAGTTGGTCTTCAGACCAACTGTCGATGATGCCGCTGTCAGCTTCAGAATGTCAACAAAAACCACCAAATTCACAATCCACAATGACAGATCAAAACACATGCGACTGGTGTCAGCAAGAGCTTTATATGCATCGTGCATGCACGAGTCAACATTCATTTCTAAATTGCCAGTGTGTGTCATATGTACCGGCCAGTTGGTGGATCGTATGGTCCGTCACTTAGCCTTTTATATAGTATATAGATTTCTTTTTATTCATGCCCCACATCTAAGACAAGGGTTTTTATGTAAAAACACAGTTCCTTTTTTTCTACATTGATAGTCCAAGACAGACTTATGAGTGATGCTGAATAATTAACTTTGGTAAAACAGGCTATTCATACAAGCCCAATGGATCCAAAGCCTAATTCTGGACCTGTTTCCTATGTATCAGGAATAGACCCATTTGTTACTAGACCGTTATCAAAAGATTTGCTTTGACGAGGGACAAAATTCAGTTAGGATATTCTACAGAAGCCACTGGCGGAAGACAAGACCCGCCCCTAGGCCTGGAGGTAGAGTTCTCTGTACATACTGCTAACCCTGCCCAGAGTTGGAATTTGCTGAAAGACACCCCATGTTTAGTAAAAGGTGAATGGAAGCAAACTTGTCTTACACGTTCAAATCAAACCTCTTTTCTGAGTAGCTTTCACGGCCACTCTGAGCTCTATTTCCCCACAAGAAGGTAGAACCTCCAAAACCGACTATTAGCGTTTTGTTACCACTCTTAATTATGAAGATGGCTCAAATGCAAAATCCTTTTGAAAAGAAGTAATTAAAATTCTAAGTTCCTAAAATATGTTGATGAACAAGTCACTAGATGCTTTTGGAAGCCTCAACTCAATTCCAGTAGACATCATTATAGCCTCCAAATCTGACTGAATACATGGTGATTCTCTACCTTTTTAAAAAATAACATCACCCCTAACTGCTCACCCACTCCAGCCTGTAGATGCACTTACATTCTCTCTGATCTGCTCTAGTCCATCTCTAAGAACTCAGTCATCAATAGATAGCACACTTTTACCTTACCCATACAGCTTCCTTCCTTGGCACCCGGGTTCTCAGCTCCTGCCCCATCCCAGTGTCTTCTATCCCACACCACCATGGTTTTCGCCTCACAATATTACCTAATCAACTTTTATATGTCATTCAATACCTTAAAAACATTTCCCTTGCTCTCTCTCCCATTAAAAAGAAAAGTGCCAGCTGGGCTCATTTTTCTTTTTCTTCTTTTTTCTTTTCTTTTTAAAATATATATATATTTTATTGATTTTTTACAGAAAGGAAGAGATAGGGATAGAGTTAGAAACATCGATGAGAGAATCATCGATCAGCTGCCTCTTGCACACCCCCTACTGGGGATGTGCCCGCAACCAAGGTACATGCCCCTGACCGGAATCGAACCCGGGACTCTTCAGCCCGTAAGCCGGTGCTCTATCCACTGAGCCAAACCGGTTTCGGCTGGACTCATTTTTCTTAGTAAGTCTTCACACACCCAATTCCCACCACCTCTCCAACTTTTCCAAGAATTATGGCACCTCCTTGCATGTACTGTTGTGGTTATCACAGTTTTCCCTGCCCCTTACGAATGTACTCATCTTCAAGAGAGAGCTCAAGTGTCACCATTTCAATTTAGTCCTCCCTGATTACCTCACACGAAATTATCACTTTCCTCTTCCACTCTGTATTAAAATTTAACAGATAACACTGTAATTACTTGTTTACATGTCTGTCCTCCTGGCAACTCGTATTTTAACTTGTAGGCTAGTATCTGAGTAATTGCTCAATAAATATTTAATGGAAGAATGAAGGTCCTGTCTTGTAATACTTAGAACTTTCTATAAATGAGCTTAAAATCATGTAGTACACCTACTATTTTCAATTAATGTTTATGAACAGAACATGTGAATAAATGTATTCATTTTACAACATGTAAATTTCAAAAATGTTAAAAACTGCAGAAATGCATAATAAAAAAAGCAAAAATGTCTTACAACTTACTCCCTGGAGGGAAACTAAACAGCTTCAATTTTGTGATAGGTTCTGGATTTTTCTTGTGTACATTCCACAACATATGCACACCACTGACATCATGCTCTACCTGTACCATACTGCTTTATGCCCTTGAGATAGTATGGGCGTCTTTTCTTCACAGAACACAATATATTTTTATTGATTTATTACAGAGAGGAAGGGAGAGGAATAGAAAGTCAGAAACATCGATGAGAAAGAAACATCGATCAGCTGCCTCTTGCACACCCCCTACTGGGGATGTCCACGCAGCCAAAGTACATGCCCTTGACCGGAATCAAACCTGGGACCTTCCAGTCTACAGGCCAACGCTCTATCCACTGAGCCAAACCGGTTTAGGCTAATATTTTAAAAACAAATAAAATACTCCAGGTCATAACAGTAAAGGTGACTCAACTTCCTGCTCTTGCCTAAGGACACTCTTGCATTAGTAATGACTAACAACCATCTGCAATTTCTAATCAAACAAGAAAGTCTTGATTACACCACAAGTTAGATGATCAATCTCTCCCTCTCACCTGTCCCACAATTCAGGAATAAAGAAGTCACCTTCGGACACTGAAAGTTTACTAAACACACTACTGAAAGTTTACTAAACATACCTGATGAGTAGTTCAAAGTATAGGATTATGAAGTTGTTTCCTTAGAATGCAACGAGCTGAAAAAATAAATGCAATGATCTTGTGAAGGTATCAAATTCTGATCAATTTCAGTTTTTTGACATTCTGGTCTCTTGTATTTATGCTGATTCATAAACTGTTCTTACTATACGCAAGGCATTGTTCGAAGGTCTTTGTAAACAAATATTAACTTATTTAACAGCCCCATGGCACAGGAACTATTATTATCCTCACTTTACAGATGAGGAAACCACGGCACAGAAAAACTGCCCAAGATTACTCCCCCAGGATAGTAAGTGACAGAGTTGAAATTCAACCCAGATTGTTCTAGTTTTCCAGAAACCATGTTCTTAGGTACCACGCTGCAGATATGACAAACATTAGTCAAAAGTAGTGTTTTTAAAAAAGTTTTCTCTTCCTAGAACTTTCATGAAATCCCATAGCTTCAGTCATGTTGATGTAGATGATTCCTACCTCTTTAATGCTTCTCACAGAGTCAACAATG